CCTCGAGCTCCCTGAGGTCGGAGCTCGGATTATCGCGCTCGTTGCTGGAGAATATCCCTTTGGTCTTCGGTCTTGTCTTGCGATGTTGACTTCGGTTGACCTTGCGTCAGTGCCCAAGGTCAGAGCTTGTACCGAGCTCGGTGTGCCGATCTCGGCCTCATATCTTGCCTTGTCTGGGTGATTCGGGAGCTCGGTGTTTCCGCCGACCTCAAAGTGTCGAGGTCGGCCTCGACTGGTCTTCTGTCCTTTATCCATTTGTTGTCTTGGGCTTGGTCCCGACCTGAGTGGGTCGGGGTCGTGGTCGGCCTATGTTAGGGGTGGGCAAAAGACCCGGTCCCGTTGGTCCGTTCCGTTCCGGTTCCGTTCCGAAATTGTCTCGTTATATTAGGGACACATTATTTTTGTCCCGTACCGGTACCGAACCGTTTCAAAACAAAACGGGATCGGAACAAGTAAAATATATCACGTTCCGTCCCGTTGTCCCGAATCCAAAAATGTACTTTGTAGTAGGTTAGTGAGGTCTATCAACAACTCATTATGTAATCCAAATAATAAAAAATATCTTTTTCTCACAACTCAAATATCAACGATTATTAAGACACTAGTTGTTTAACAATAGAGCACCTAAAATTAAAACTCTAAACTATCTAGTATGAACTATGAACTACTCCCTCCGCTCCGCTAACAATGGAACAAGAGGGGGTGACACGCAAATCAATAAAAAGTGGTTTATGTGGTTGATATTGAATTGATAAAGTAAGAATAAAGTAAGAATGATTAAGAACCACACAAACTTTACCAAATTTGGTATGTGACAATCTTAGTGGGATGAACCGATAAGGTAAAATGGGACAATCATAGCGGGACGGAGGTAGTATCATCTATGTGCAAAAAAAGAAATTGATTTTTACTCCCAAAGGCTTCACCACTTATAGTATTCTTTTATCTTTTTTTTTACAATTTCTTGATAGTTTTTTGTGTTTGTCTTGCAACTTTTGTTTCTTGCAGCTGATTTTGTAGGTTGCTTTTTTATCACAATTTTCTAGATTAGGTGCAATTTTTTGTCAAAGTTTTTTTGTGATAGTTTGTTTTCAAATAGCTTTGCTTCATTTTTGGGATTGCAATTTTTCACTATAGTTTTTTGGGATGTCCCGAACCGTCCCGTTTTGTCCCGGTACCGGTTTATATGGGACAACAAAAGAACAACATCTTGTCCCGTCCCGTTCCGAACCGTTATTATAAACCGGGTTCGGTACCGGGACAACCCAATTCCCGTTCCTTCCCGGACCGTGCCCACCCCTAGCCTATGTTGGAAGCTTGGTACTCTTGGGGTATGTGGGAATATACACCATCACATAGCTATTTAAAATATTTTAAAAAATATTAACCAACCGTGCATCACACATGTTTAACTTCTTTTTAAAATAGTAAAATGATCTATTTGAATATTTTCTCACAAATTTATATTCAAGTAGAGTTTAAGAGTTACATAACGCACTTTGACATGTTTAATTTACACCCCTTGCATCGCCTATTTACAGAGGCAATTCATCTGAAAAAGTAATTCGTGTAAATGTACAATCACCCATTACTTAGTCATTACATATAATTTACATTTCATTAACATATACTCTGTATAAACCCTTAAAAAGGAAAAAAAAACTTAGACAAAATCATTTGTGCATAACGCTTAGCTTGGAATGTAATGAGTTTTCAAATTATATTTGTATTGTGCTATGTACTATTCTATGGGGTTTTAAAAATTTGTGCACTGCTCCACAATCATTGATAAATCATATCGGTATCGTATATTTCATTTTACGTCAAAGTATTATTGTTTGATTCTAAACAATTCAATTACAATTACAAGTTTTTTTTTAATTTCTAAACAAAACGTTCACCAACTGTGTTTTATAGGGTTAAAAAAGTTACTGTACTACTCCGTAATCGTTAGTAAATCGTATTAAATATATTTCATTTAACTTCAAACTTTATTATTATTCAGAATATAATTATAAACAATTCAATTAAAATTACAAGTTTAACTTTTTAATTTGATTTCAAATTTGTTTAAAGTTAATTACACCCGTGAAGTTTCACCAACCGTGCATCACACAAGTGTTTCATAACATTTATCAAGGAGTAATGTGTTTTCAAATTATATTTATACTGCGTGTAATCAGTGGTTAATCGAATTTAATATATTGCATTGCTTATCAAGATTCATTATTGTAGGTAGTGCAATTCTAAACCATTTATTTTTTTATTCTAAATGATTCAATTCGAATTACAATTATATTATTTATTTATTCCATATTTGACTAAACATCATTGAACATGTGAAAAATTCACCAACCGTGCTTCGAAAAAAAGAATCCATGCAATATGTTTTTAAATATGGAAACATCCAGTTTGAGCTAGGGGTGAGCATAAAAAACTGTAACCGATTAACCGAACAAAAAGACCGGAAAACCTGTGTTCTTTTCGATTAACCGTACTGAAATTTTTAAAACGCACGGTACGGTCAATTGGCCGGGAGGAAAAATGGTTCGCGGGATGGTTATGGTTTTGAAATTATCTTCTGCCGGTTAACCGATAACCGTAACCTCAAATATTATATGATTTCCGTATTATTATTGACTCTTTTTAAGTGATGATGATGAATGGTATGCACTTCGTGGAATTCTGCATCTATAATTCACGTCCGTACAATCGTACATAATGGAATAATAGAAAGCTACTCACAGTTATATAGCTCAACTAAATGGAAAGAATATTTCTACACTAATGCAAAGGGACTCACATGTACATATCTTTATTAATCTACGTATATACGGTATAATAATACTTCATATAAGTATAGGAACATATAATCTGGAAAAGTAGTACTACATACTAAGTAGTACAAGCAGTGTAACTGTGTAAGGCCCAAAAAGGCGCCGCTTAGGCGGGCCTAAGCGCCAGGCGTCATTAAGACGCCCCGCATATGCAAATGCGTGACAAAAGGCGTGTTGGGCTACAAAATTCAACTTTTCAATTGATTTTGTTAGCCCATACATAATAGGACTGCCCAATGAAGGTAGAAAGAGGCGCTGCTTGCTATATCACACATATCAGTACGAAGGGGATGTCCATATATATAGTGTGTTGACCGGAGGAAGTCTCCAACACCATCCCGTGTGGGACAAAGTAATACCTCGGATAAATAGTTAAGGCCAAAGCATTTGTCAACAGGCTGCATCAAATACTTTTAAGAGTGGGTATTTCTAAATTATAATGTAAATTAGTTATTCTTATAAGCTATTAGTACGAAATATGGTAAACAAGTGTATCCTACTACCTTTTATTATAATTAAACATCAATATAAACACCGTTGTTGTTGGAATTCTAGTTATTATTATCATTGTATTTTATTGTTATCATTGTCGATATCTTTGCCATTGTAACTTTTAATAGAGTATTATCTAAATATTAAGGTAATAAAATTTATGGGAAAAAATATGATTAAAGTGATTGTAAATATATTTTTATATTCACTACAATGATATGTTTGAATATAAATTTAATAACTAAATGTTACTAAGTCACATTTTTACAAATATAAATATTTTAACCTTAAACTACTTTTTTCGGTTCTAGTTTTTCTGTAATTAGTAAATTTATACTCTATATTTGCTAGATTTAGGATTCCACAAATCTCTGTTTTTGAATAACATTATTTAATATTAAATTTAAATACTTAAAATAGATCTATGAAAATTAAAATAAATGATAAAAAATCAAAACGCCTTTTCACGCCTAAGCCCCGCCTAAGCTCGCCTAGGCTCCAAAGGCTTAACACTTGGTCGTGCCGCCTCGGCACGCCTTACGCCTTTTAGAACATTGAGTACAAGGAAATATATTCTGACTAACTAAAATTTGGAAACCATACGATTTATTGGAAACGTTATTGTTATGGAAGTTTCTTTTTTAATCTTGGACTGCTAGTACGTAGTACTTTTAAGAATTTATTATTTTCTTTTTCATGGTTTTATGGTTAACCGATTAGTGGTTAACCGAAATTTTGGTCAACCAAGTATCGGTTAACCAATGTTATGGTACGGATAATGGTCCCAACAATATATTAACAAACATTGTGGTTAACCGGAAATTGGTTAACCGAAATCCGGTTAACCAACCATGCGATCCATGCCCACCCCTAGTTTGAGCCACTATTGTCAATCTTATTTCTTTTATAGCCCACTGGGATCCGAAAATAGAATAACATATTTTTTCTTGTTGACCAAGTATTTCACCATAAATATAAACTTCCAAAAATTCTTTGTGCAAACATGTTGTCACTCTACTGAATTTGACACCAGATTTTACTTGGCATTTCCATGTTCTCTCTCTTATTTCTGGAATTCCGACCGTCCTAGGGTGGGCGACCCATCAATTTGTTTTAGCCTTTAGGTGTATTTTATTATTCTTGTTAGCAAGGATTACCAAAACCAGCTCTTGGTGTAAGATTTTTCGCCCAAGGCTCGCAAAACTTTCAAAACAGCATCTTTGATAATTTCCGCTAGGGCTGTACAAGAATCACCCGAACCCGCATAACCCGCCCGACCTAACCCTACCCGACCTAACCCTACCCGACCCTATTTAATCGGGTATTTGATTTTTAAAAATATTCATGGGTTAAATATGATTGAACCCGCACCTAATGGGTAGGGTTGCGGAATTAAAATCTCCAACCCAATAGTACCCGACCCGGCCGAATTTCATTTTACTATTATTATGCTACAATGTTTTCTTGGATAATTTCAATTTAAGACCAATGTGCTCTATCTAGGACTTTATGATACTAGAATTATAATTAAACATTTACCATTTTGACTAGGTGATTATTATATATTTATGTTTCCTTCTAAATGATCTTCCTTTACGGAATGATGTTTTAATACTATTTGTTTTTGAAACCCGGTTTGAACAAAAAACCCGAGAGTTTTTGGGGTGAGGGCCAGGAAACACCTCACTTATTTACTTATTGTAATAGTAAAAGGTTACATGAGTAGGAGGGCCGAACCAAAGCCTACTCACGAGAGAAAAAGATTACAAAACATAAGGGAAACTAACAGCATCAAACTTAAGAATACCAACAAATTGGTTGAAATGATGACTATTGGTTTTGATTGACATACTATGACAAGCAAAGAACTCTGCTGCTCTATTAACTTTAGGATGAGTGAGGCTGACCTTCCAAGTGTTGATCCTGAGTTTTTTCTTGATTTTGTGAATCTTTGGCCAATATTTCCAATGTTGGATCGAGAGACCAACAATACTTGCGTAAATGTCTTTATCATCCACCTCAAGGATAATATTAGTAGGCACCAATTGGTTTAGAAGAGGGATGATGTAGTCGAGGGCCTCATAGGCCTCTACGGTTGTTTGGTTGTTTGGCCTATATAGCTCCCATCGCTATTTCGAATGATGGCAGCTGAACGAGTGACATTTGGTGTGAGAGCACGAATAGCTAAGTTTACTTTATACGTGTTGGGCAGAGGTTTGACCCAATTATTCAAGAAGGCTATGTGGCTACTTTTTTTGTGAGGGGTGGTGTGGATGTTAAACGGGGCATTGGGAGTCATGGCAATGTGGAGTTTGGCAACTGAAATGGCAAAAATATCATGTTTAATAGCACTTATAGCCTCAAGCATATGACCCAATTTATTCTCATATAGGAACTTGTTTCTGGCTTTCCAAAGATGCCAAGTAGTTACGTTTGGAATAACATAATTGAAATCAAAAATAGGGCCACAATAGTCAATGTACCTGATAGAGTATTAACTCCTAGATTCTAGAGAGAAGTGAGAGCTAGAGAGAGAAGTGCAATAATATGCTTCAATAGAATGATTTTGTAACCCCTATAACTACTCCCAAAGGGAGTATTTATAGAGAAAATTAGGGTTGGGCTCCCAAGCCTTGGGCTTGGGAGGCCCATTTACAACTGGACCGCTACTGGGCCGAATACAAAGCCACTAATGGGCTGTACAAATGAGTAAGTATAGGATCCGATTCTGGGAGGTCCTCGTGGCCGACGAGGGCGTGGCCGACGAGGGCGCGGCCGACGAGGGCACGGCCGACGAGGGCACCCGGGTTCCTTGGACTCAGGACCGTAATCTGAGTTGGCTTCCTCTCGGCCGACGGGGGAGCCTTGGCCGACGAGGGCGCCACTCTGCTGTCTTGTGCTCTGTTCTTCCGAGTATGTGGGTCCTGGGGTTCAGACCCATATACTCCATCAGGAATCCCCCACTCTCTAAGCTGAGACGTAGACGAAGTGAAGGAGAGTAGATTTCTGTGCTTTGTTGCTTTTGGCCGACGCGGGCATTTCCAGGCCGTTAGCCGTTGCGGCGTTGGCGTTGTTTTCTCTTTGGTGATCCTGTTCTGTGCTTTGGCCGTTACCTGCTCCTTATGGTTAACTGTTGGCAGGGGGGCCGTTGTTTCCTTGATGTGTTCGTTTGGGGACGATGAGTGTCCTGCTTCAATGGTGGCCGTTGAAGGCGCGCTTTCCCTTATTTGGACGTTGGTAGTTTGAAGTTTACATTTGGGCCGGTGAGGCCACTGAGGTTGAACCTTGTTTCGAGGACGATGGCGTCCTTTCCTTTGGGTGACCGATGAGGGTGTTTGCGCACTCCTTTTGGCCGTTGCTGGTTGGCCTTCGTGTTTTTGGCCGAAGGGCCCGTCAAGATTAATTGTTGGCGGAGGACGATGAGTGTCCTTGCCTCTAGTGGCTTGTTGGCCGTTGCTAGTGACGTTATGGGCCTTTGGCCGATGAAGTTCTGTTGTGCTGTATGGATTATGTGGCCATGTTTTGTGGTTACCTTGTTTATACCTTTGTTTCGTTGAGGCCGGTGTAGTCCCCCAGTCCCCCACTGCTTCAGGCCGAAGAGTGTGAGGGGTGAAGGAGTTGCTTGAGTCCTTGGCCGAAGCGGTCTCGCCGTAGTCCTTGGCCGAAGCGGTCTCGCCGTAGTCCTTGGCCGAAGCGGTCTCGCCGTAGTCCCCCTGAGTCCAACTCTCATGGCGATTTTCTGGCCAAGGTAACCCTGTGGGAGAACCCTTGTGCGCAGATCGCTTGTAGAGAGTTATCATCAAGGGTTATTACGAGGAGCCGAAGGCTGTGGGCTATTTGTTCCCTTTGTTCTGTGGCCGTCACGTACCTGGCCGTTGCCATCCTCTTATTGTTTGGCATTTGTGATATTGGTGAGCAAGTGGGACGTTGTGGGCGCTTGCTGGCAGTTGTAAAGCCGTTGAGCGTGTGTAGGCCGTAGAGTCTGATTTGCCAGTGGGCCGTTGATATGGGTTGGTCCTGGCCCGTTGGTGACGTGGTGGCCCCCCAGTGGTGGCCGTTGATGTGGCCATTGGGTGAGTGCCACGTGTAGTGACCGTTGGTGGGGGGGTCTATAAATACCCCTTCCCCTCCGACGAAGAATCACATTTGCATTCTGAATTTGTCGAAGTGCTGGCCGATTTTCTAGAGAGAGAAACTCCCGAGCCTGTTCTTCGTGTTCTTCATTGTTTGAGGTTAGTGTTCATCACGATCTTCCTCACTTTTCATATTTTGCTCCGTAAGTAGTTGATCTAGTGTTAGGCATTTAAACACCTTTAGATCGTAAGTTCTCCTTAAGCCCGTAGTAGTAGTAATGAAGAGCTTGAACGAGGACTACTACCCCTACGACGACCAGCCCTCCACGAGGTCCCTTGACTACGAGGTGCTCGAGGAGTTTGAAGAGGAGATAGAGCGTTTGAGCCCCTACAAATCCGGAGAGCTGATGGACGAGGAGATCGAGGACGAGGAGTCCGCCTCCTCTTCAGAGGGTGAGGACGTAGGCGCGTCCCGGGCGGTGGACGGGGCGTCCACTTCTGCTGCCGTTCCGTGCCCGAGGCCGGTATCTGCCGTGAAGGGCGCAGCGAAGCCGAAGAGGGTGAGGAGGCCGAAGAATGGGCCGGGTCTCTCCTACTTGGACCTTACTAACATATTCCTGATTAAGCCGGAGAGCAGTGAGGCCGACTATCTTGTCGCCCAGATGTACGTGGGGCCGTTCGGGCGGGTTAGGGCACCCAGGCCGACGGACCATGTTCTACTTCCGCCACCGGGATACTTCGGAGTATACCCGATGAGTTTTGCTAAGGGGTTGAGGTTCCCCCTTCACCCTTTCGTCACCGAGTATCTGGACATGGTGGGGCTTCCTCCGGCCCTGCTGACGCCGAACAGTTATTCCTTGATAGTGGGCTTCTTGCTTCGGTGTGAGGAGTTGGGCTACAGGCCGACCACGGCCTTATTCATGAACTTGTACCAGATCGGCCGAGGAAGCCACAAGAACTGTGCGGCCTATGCCACTCTTCAACAGCTGCCGAGGAAGAGGAGCTTCACGGATTTGCCTACGTCCATTCATGGGTGGAAGAGCAAGTTCGTGTTTGTGTCCATTGGTGAGAGTGGCACCGAGTTCCCCTCCCTCGGCCATACCGGGAGGTTCAACCTTCATGACCCGCCGAAGAGCTCTATTTTGGACGCTCAGGTGGAGGCTTTCCTGGAAGGGGGGCCGAGGAGCGTGAAAGATTACATCACTGAATACAAGATGACGGCCCTCGGCTTCTTCAGATATCACTTGTATGGAGATAAGGAGGATGACCTCCAACTCTGGCCGAGGATGACCACCACCTTTGAGGAGGCCGATGGCCCGCCTTTGGGCATTCCTGCTGAGGCCGATGGTAATTTTTCTTCGGCTTTCTGTTTTTACGTTTTGTCCTTTGCCCTACTAATCTGTTTGTGCTTTTCCCTTGTAGATTTTGTCATGGACCGCCGTTCCATGATGGCTATTGCAAAGGCCAAAGCGGCCGAGGAGATTGCTGCTAAGGCGGCCGAAGCGGCCAGGCGTGCCGCGGCCGGTGTGGGCGGGGCTACTGCAGATGCGGCCCCAAAGCCTGCCCCATCCAAGAAAAAGAGACCGGCCACTGACGGCCAGAAAAAGTTGACCGAGGCCGGCGTGAGCGTCTCTAAGAAGACGAAGAGGGCTCCTTCCCCTTCTCCGGCCAGTGAGGCCGGTACGCTTACTGTCCCCAGCGTGGGCGATGGTGGTCCCGTCGTGGACCTTACTGTTGCTGATGATGCCGCCCCAGCGCTTCCTCTCGTCCAGGAACCACGGACGCAGAGGGCCGGCAAGGAGGTTGCCGGTGCCACCTATCAGAAAGTGATAGAGTACCCCGTCGGTGGGGGCGTGTTTAATGAGCTCGTCCCCGGCCATGTCGTCCTGGCCAAGGCCATGCCGGCCAAAGATCGGGCTCATCTGAAGAAGCTCGAGGACCCGAAGATTTATGAGGGCGGCATGGATCTCCTCGTCCAAGTAAGTGATTGTCCTTATATCCATGTCTTTCTTCGTCTATGTAGAGTTTGTGCCTGACCTTAGTGTTTCTTATGCAGAGTGCCTTCATGCTTATGGAAAGCCATAAGAGGCAGTACTGGGAGATAGTCCGCCTGCAAGCACTGGAGCAGAAGGCTGCCTCGGCCGACGAGGCGGTAGCTTGCCTTGACCGGCTTCGGGAGGATGCCAAGGCGCTGCAGGCCAAAGCTGATGAGGCCGTCGCGGCCAGGGACGTTGCCCTGGTCCAGCTCGAAGAGAGCAAAAGGGAGCTCGCAGAGTCCCGTAGAGCGCTTGAGGCCGAGAAGCGCAGGAGCGAGGAGGCCGCCAAGGCGAAAGCTGAGGCCGAGGCCGCCGTCGTGAGGGCTGCCGATGAGGCTGTTGAGAAGTTCTTGGCCGAAGGGTGGAAGGCCGATGAGAGGCTCCCCTGGTGCTACGAGGTGGTGGCCGCCAAGCTAGAGAATTGGGGGATGAACTCCCCTGCCGGCCGGGAGTATTTCAGCCAGGAGATGTCTGTTTACTACAACCTGGGCCAGGAGCGGATGCAAAGGCTCCTGTACCGGCGGCTATCCCGGGCGTTGAAGGCCATGAATTACACGGCTGGATGGGCTAGACGGAACCTGAAGCTCCCAAAGCTGATGAAGGATCCCGAAGGGCAGGCCACGCTTCCGCTGTCGGAGCGGGATTCCCCCATAGAAAGCTCCGGCCTCGGTGAGTCGGACTATACTGAGTTCGATTTCTTGGATGATGCCACCAGCGCCGCTGCCGGCCAGGAAGCTGAGGCCGATGAGGAGGGGGCCGACGAGGTTGAAGAGGCAGCCCCGGAGGCTTGATCGGCTAGTCCCTATTGTAGTTAGCTTTTCATTTGTTGCCCAATTATGTAATGGCCGTAGTGCCCCCCAATTGTAATGATTTTTATCAATTGAAGAAATTTTTGCTGTCCTTTTCGGCCTTGAATCCTTTGTGTGCTTGTTTGCTTTGTCATTTCAATTCTGTAAATTGTCTTAAGTATTAAGTCATAACTTGGGTCATCCGCGAGTGTCCGCTACGTCCGTGAGGTTGGCCTTCCCGTTCAGTAGTCTGGTCGGCCTATGCCTCTTTGCTTTACTGTCATAACACTTGGGATTTCGTATCAAAATTTTCCTAAGTGTTTTTGGTTCCATGTAGCTGCTGTCTTTACGGCCTAGTGGCTTGATCGGCTTGGACGTAGTTCCATAATACTTAGGAATTTCTCCAAAAAATTTCTAAGTGTTTTGGGATCCACTTAGGTGCTTTCCTTTCGGCCTGGTGGCCTTGTCGGCTTGACCGGTGTTCCTTTGCCATCATAACACTAAGTTTTTTTTTTTTCAAAAAATTTCCTAAGTGTTTTGGATTCCTTTTAGGTGCTTCTGTTTTTAGCCTTGACCGCAGTGTCCGTTCCGTCCAGGCGTTGGCGTCCTTATCGTCCTGGCCTTGGATTCATCCCAGGTGTTTTGGCCAGGGCCGTTGTCGGCTTGTATCCCTGTGTTCTGGCCGAAAAGGGCACCGTCACCATAGTCTTGTGGACTTTGAATTTTTCACAAGTACACATGTAGAGGTGTAGGTGGCTAATCGGCCTTGTAGCATACTGGTACCCGCTTCGGCTAGAATTCCTTCATTTGAGTACTTAGATAATTTCCTGAGTATAAATGTTAGGTATTTACGTCTTCGCGGTGCCACTGCCGGCCAAGGTCTGGCTTGTGGCCGATGAGGGTGCTGGATAAGGAATAGCTTGTCTGAGGAGATGGTCCTGCCTTCGGCGGCTGGCCATGGTTCCGGTGCCTGCGTCGGCCATCCGAGGTGCTGTGGCAAGTAGAGGTTGTTTCTTAATTGCTTGTTCCTTTCGCGAGTGTGATGAGTGCCCGCTTCGTCCCGGTCATCCTTAGGATTGCGATGCTCGGTTTCATTCCAAGCGTTGGTGCTTCAAAGGAATGTGGCCGATGAAGGTCACCTCGCGCGTGTCACCCAACCGATGTGGTTAGGGTTTTATAGGCGTGTGTATCGGCCTTGATTGTTCCCTCGAAGTGTGTGGACGCGTCGTCCATGTTAACTGTTTGTGGTACTACACTGTGTTCGACTGATATGTACCTGGCCAAAATGGGCCTGAATTGTGGGGATTTTTATTTTTTCATTGCTCGAGGCCGGCAAGTGTGCACGGCCGTCGGCTTCCCTCTTTTCCCTCATGTATATATATATATATATTTTTTTTTTCGTTTCGGGGGGTATCCTTCTTTCAGGCTTCGGCCGAAGGGTGTGCTCGTCCTTCGGCCGGTTTGGACTTCGTTTATAACGTCCGTGGTCTCAGGGCGGGTCCCGTCGCCTATTTATGACGCGGGCTAGACTTTTGGTCGGTTTCCAACGGCTGTCGTTGCTCATCCCTGAGTTTTGGGATTTTGTCACCTCGGCCATGATTTCAGGCCTGTCGTCCTGCGATCTGGCGCGTGGACGACGCGGTGAGCTTCCCGTTTCAAGACGTGGGCCGTTTGCGGGCCCCTCGTCCTGGGGACATCGTCGGCCATACCTGAGTGTTTCACTTCTAGGCTTACGGGGCCAGGACGATGTGCTCTCTCAGCTAGGCCTGAGCCCTTCGCTGATACAAAATACAATGGAGTGCCTGAGCTTGTCGCTCGCAGGCTGCAAATGCAAGGGGCCATGTCGGCCAGACCTGAGCCTTTCGGTCTAAGGTGGCCGACGAGGGCACCTGCTAATGTTTTACTTTAAATTCCAGAGAAAAAATCAGAACATGATTTTATTCATAAGTGGCTCGAGGCCGAGGGTGGCGTTCAATCAGTAACCCGTTAAGGGGTGAGGGCTTCACCGTCTACACCTCCTTCGGATTACTGATAAAACTTCACCAGATGATGTACATTCCATATTCGTGGTACATTGGATCCATTCGGTCGTTTAAGCTTGTAGGTGCCGGGTTTGACCACGGCACTGACGATGTAGGGCCCTTCGTACTTCAATGCTAGCTTGCCACCCTCTGTCGGCTGGCTTGCTTCCCTTCGGCGGAGGACGTAGTCCCCCACCTGAAATTCCCGGGAACGTACCTTGGCGTCATAGTATGATTTCACTTGACGCCGGTAGTTCTGTGCTCGGACGTAAGCTTGCTCACGCCTCTCATCAACCAGGTGTAGGTCAATCTTCATGTTCTCTTCGTTGTTGTCAGGCTCATATTGCTCCACCCGCCGGCTGGGGATGGCTACCTCCGTGGGCGCCTTCGCCTCAAAGCCGTAGCACAGGGCGAAAGGTGTTTTGCCTGTCGCCCTCCTCGGCGTGGTTCTGTAGCACCACAGGATGTTGGGGAGCTCGTCGACCCAACTACCTCCTGCGGCCTGGAGGTTCTTCTTCAGCCCCTCCATTATTGTTCTGTTGGCGTTCTCGACCTGCCCGTTGCCCTGAGGATAGGCAACGGAGGAGAAACGGTGCCTCACCCCAAACTCCCGGAGGAGCTCCTGGAAAGGGGCTGCCTCGAATTGGGTGCCGTTGTCTGATATAATCTCCTGGGGGACGCCGAAGCGTGTAATGATGTTCTTGTAAACAAACCTTTGGCATCTGGCCCCCGTGATGCTGGCCAAGGGTTCCGCCTCGACCCACTTGGTGAAGTAGTCGACGGCGACGATGATGTAGCGGTTATTACCGGCGGCTCTGGGCAGGGGGCCGACCAGGTCAATCCCCCATCTGGAGAATGGAATTGCGGTGCTGACCGGGGCATAGTTGACAGCTGGCCGACCAGGGGCCTTCTGGAGTACCTGGCATGTGGTGCACTTCCTGGCCAGGTCAGCGCAGTCCCTTGCCATCGTCGGCCAGAAGAAGCCCTGGACGACGAGACGCCGGGACATGCTGAAAGGACCCTGGTGCGAGGAGCAGACGCCACAATGAACTTCTTCCATGGCGGTATCGGCCTCGTCCTGGTGCAGACATCGGAGGAGAGTGCCATTGTAGGACCGTTTGTAGAGTTTGCCATCTTCTATGGTGTAGCTTGGGGCCCTGAGTTTGGCAAGTTTGGCCCTCTCCTCGTCCGGGGGCAACTCCCCCGTTGTGATGAAGGTGGCGATGTCGGAGATCCAGTCCTCTGGTCGTTGGTGGACGCACAAGACGGGGCTGGCATGGATACTGGACATGCTCAACTCCTCGATCTTGGCCAACTGGGAGATGTGCTCCGGGGTGTCCGAGCTGAGCTTGGAGAGGATGTCGGCTTTGGCGTTCTCGGCCCTTGGGATCTGAGTGATCTCATGGGTTTCAAACGCTTTCAGCAATTCCTCCGTCGCTTGTTTGTACTGCTTCATCCGGCCTTCCTTTGCTTCGTACGATCCCTCCACCTGGCCCACTACCAGTTTGGAATCGCACTTGATTCTGAGGTGTTTGGCCTTGAGGCCGGCGGCGAGTCTGAGACCGCTGAGGAGGGCCTCATACTCGGCTTCGTTGTTGGATACCCTGAAGTTGAAGCGGATGGCATAGTAAGCTCTGAATCCTTCAGGGGATATGAGGACGACGCCGCCACCGCATGATTTCGCGGCCGACGAGCCGTCAGTGAAAAGGGTCCACGTATCGTCCGGCTCCGGCCCGGAGTTGGCGACGGCTGTCTCCCTTGCTGTGCATTCAATGACGAAGTCGGCCAAGGCTTGCCCCTTGATAGATGGCCGTGGCTTGATCTCAATCTGAAACTGGCTGAGGAAGATCGCCCATTTCACCATCCTCGAGGAGCTAGTGGGGCTCCTCATGAGCGCGCCAAGAGGCTGCTGGGTCAGCACATGGACGGTGTGGGCTTGGAAATAGTGCCCCAGCTTCTTCACGGTGTGGACGATAGCCAGCACCGTCTTCTCAATAGGGGAGTACCTGAGCTCGGCCTCCCTGAGCGTCTTGCTGATGTAGAAGATTGCCTTCTGCACCCCTTCGTCCTCACGGATGAGCACGGAGCTGATGGCCGACGTGCTCACCCCTAAGTACAGGAAGAGGGTTTCGCCGGCTTTGGGCTTGGAGAGTACGGGTGGGGACGACAGGTACCTTTTCAATTCGTCAAATGCTTCCTGGCACTCCGTCGTCCACTTGAAGCTGTTCGCCTTGCGCATGATGTGGAAGAAAGGGAGTGCCCTCTCGGCTGACCTGGAGAGGAACCGGTTTAGGGCCGCCAGGCGCCCCGTTAGTCGCTGTACCTCCTTGACGTTGCGGGGCGGCTCCATGTTGATGATGGCCTGCGTCTTCTCCGGGTTTATCTTGATGCCTCTCCGGCTGACCATGTAGCCAAGGAACTTGCCGCCTTGGACGCTGAAGGCGCACTTCTTGGGGTTAAGGCGGAGCCTGAATTCCTTCATGATATCAAAGATTTCCCGGAGGTCGTCGGCGTGGGAGGTGGCCTGCCTGCTCTTGACGATCATGTCGTCGACGTACGCCTCCATCGTCCGGCCAAGGACCGCTCTGAAGATTTTGGCCACCATCCTAGTATAGGTGGCGCCGGAGTTTTTGAGTCCGAAGGCCATGACGAGGTAGCAAAATATTCCCTCTGGGGTCATGAATGCCGTCTTCTCGGCGTCATCTTCGTGCATGGAGATCTGGTGGTACCCTCTGAAAGCGTCGAGGAACGACATCAACTCGCACCCCGCCGTCTCGTCCACCAACTGATCAATGTTGGGGAGAGGGAACGGGTCCATGGGGCACGCCTTGTTCAGGTCAGTGTAGTCAACACACATTCTGAACGTCGGCGGTTTTTGTGCGAGGACGACGTTGGCCAACCATGTTGGGTACTTCACCTCTTTGATATGTTTGATCGATAGGAGCATGGCGACCTCCCCTTTGACGAAGTCCCGCCTGTCAGCGGATAAGTAGCGCCGCTTCTGTTTGACGGGCGCGGAGGCCGGATCGACGGTCAGCCGGTGAGTGATCACCTGGCGGCTGATGCCGGGCATATCGTCCGGGCCCCACGCGAAGACAACGGAGTATGACCGTAGGACGAGGAGGATGGCGTCTCGTTGGTCCTGGGGGAGTTGCTTTCCGACCCTGAGAACCCGCTCCGGCCGGGAGGTATCCAGAGGGATTTCCTCGACCTCCTCGGTCGGCTCCGCATGTGGCCTCTCCTCGTCCATGGCGACGGCGGCCGTGATGGTGTCTATCCGCTGTCCTTCCCTTTCGGCCGGCCTCGTCAGCTTGAGGTAGCAAGCTCTGGCTATCCTCTGATTTCCTCTGGCGTAGCCGATGCCGTCATTTGTGGGGAACTTCAAGCATAGGTGCTTCATGGAGGTGATGGCCTCCAAGTCCTCCAGCGCTGGCCGGCCCAAGATTAGGTTGTGGGCGCACTGGAGGTTGACCACCATGAACTCCATGTCAATTTTGGCATGATGGGGGCCGTCATCGACTTCCACGGGGAGGACTATCATGCCCTCGGCGTCGATAGAGTCCCCGGTGAAGCCGGATAACGGGGTCTTGATCGGCTTCAACAGAGCTCTGTCCAGCTTCAGCTGCTTGAAGGTGTCCAAGTACATCACATTGACGGAGCTCCCCGTATCGATGTAAGTACGGTGGATGATGGAATCACCGATCTCACATCGGATGACGAGGGCGTCCCGGTGTGACTCCGTACCCGGAGGCAGATCCTTGTCGGTGAAGGTGATCGCCTCCGTTCGCTGCTTCTTCGGCTGGGGGGGAACGTGGGACACCTCTCCAATGTAAAGGGATTGGGCCCACTTCTTTCTCTGAGTGGCGGAGTCCCCCCCAGTGTTCCCGCCTACGATAAGGTGGATGTGATTTTTCTTCGGCGGAGGCTTCTCGAAGTCCTCGTCGTCGCTGAGCCTACCAATCTCGCGCTTCTTCACAGAGGGTTCGCCCCCACGTTTGCCGGTGTTTACCCAAGTGTTTTTGCGTGGGCCACCTTTGACAAACTGGGAGAGTTCCCCCTGGCGAATGAGGCGCTCGATGGCTCTTTTCAATGTGATGCAATCGTCGGTGTTGTGCGACGAGTTCTTGTGGAACCGGCAGTACGTGCCGCCCTGCTGGATGGCCAGGATCTCCTCGGCCGGCCGGGGAGCCTGCTCGATGAGGCCGTGCTTCTCGGCATAATCGAGGATGGTGCCGACCGGGTGGGTGAGGGCTACCCCGGCCGTTCCAGCCTCGGCCGCCAGTGGCGGTCTTTCTTACTTTGTCCACCATAGCCGTGGCGGCCCTGGGCACCCTGGCCGGCCGGGGACGGACCCGAGGCCGGCGAAGGATTTGTCTTCTTGGGGGGATGGCCCCCCTCTCTCTTGTGATTGTGGAGCTCGTCGGCGTCCGCATACAAGCCTCCGCGTTGGAGCGCCTTGGCGTACGACCTCGGGGGGTCAGTGATGAGACTCCTGGCGTATGGGGAGCTGCGGAGGGCTCCCTGGTACAAGGCGAGGAGGGTACGCTCATCGGCCCCCTCGACTTCCTCTGTCTCCCTCGTCCACCGGTCGATGAATGACCGGAGGGACTCCTCGTGCTGCTGTTTGACGGAGAGGAGGTGGGTGAAATACTTCTTGGAGCGCTTCCTTCCGGCAAAGTGAGTGAGGAAGCGTTGGGCGAGATCTTGCCATGAGTCGATGCCTCCCTCTGGCAGTCCGTTGAACCACTCGTACGCTGGCCCCTCGAGAGTAGAGAGGAACCAACGGCAGAGGTATTCGTCTGACGCATTCACCATCAGCATGTTGTTTTGATAGCGGCTGAAGTGCTCCTGGGGGTCTGATCGGCCATCGTAGGACTTGATGACGTTCCCCCTGTATTTCTCAGGGATGGGGGCCGAGAGGACCCTGTTGGTGAAAGGGGTCCTAGTCCTGACCTGGATGATGGGGTCACCCCGCCCTTCGACCAGCTCCCTCTCCAGGGCGTTGACTTTGTTCATGAGCGTGTTGAGGCCGGGGTCGTTGGAGGCACCGGCCGTAGGGACGTTGGCCGACTGCTTGGCCTCCATCTGAGCCAACCTCCTTTCCAGCTGGGCGATGACCTCGTCCCGGGGGTCCCTATCGGCTGCAGCGGCGCCCCGCTGGTTCCTCCGGCGCTCGTTGTGAGCCGCGTTGATCTGGTGACGCGCGTCGTCCTCGTGCAACTTCCCCTTGCCCTTGTCCGGGCGGGGCTGGTCCGCTGTCCGGGACACAGACCCCAAACTTTCCCTTGGCGAGCCAGGACGAAGATCACCAATCCGTCCCGCCATCCTCTCCGAAACCGGACGACGGCGCGTGTCACCTAGCCTATTAAAGGCAGAGGCTTTTTCACGCGCTGGGGTCTGCCCGGGCCGAAGAGGGGAAGCAGGGTGGGAGTGGGACGACGCCGTGTCCTGGGCCACAACCCCCTCATTGTTGCCTATCTGGTCGGCCAGTGGTTGGGGGTGAGGAGGTGGAGTGACGTTTCCCCCGGTCCTTGGCAAGAGCGCGCTGAGGACGGTGGGATTCTGAGCCAAGCTGGCGATGATGGCTGACAGTGCGGCCTGGACCTGAGGATCCACGGACGGAGAGGCCGCGGCCGTAGGCTGGGCCGGGGCGTGGTCCGCTTTCTCAGCTCGTTTCTTTTCCAGGCCGAGGCGGGCGTCGGGGACTCCGCCGTTGAGTTGGTTGCGGAGGTCCGTCGTGAGGTTGAAGGCCTCCTGGAAGAGGTCTCCTCCGCCGACCTGGTCGGCCGTGGCGTCCTCATCGTGCTCCCTGGGCTCTTGGTCCTCAGGGATGGCTCTGCTGACGAGGTTGCGGTTTGACTTAGTTCTCCCCATGATCAGTGGTTAGCTGTGCTTGGTAGCGACGAAGGGTGCTAACTTGATTGTTCTAGCTCTCAACGAGAGCACCAAATGATAGAGTATTAACTCCTAGATTCTAGAGAGAAGTGAGAGCTAGAGAGAGAAGTGCAATAATATGCTTCAATAGAATGATTTTGTAACCCCTATAACTACTCCCAAGGGGAGTATTTATAGAGAAAATTAGGGTTGGGCTCCCAAGCCTTGGGCTTGGGAGGCCCATTTACAACTGGACCGCTACTGGGCCGAATACAAAGCCACTAATGGGCTGTACAAATGAGTAAGTATAGGATCCGATTCTGGGAGGTCCTCGTGGCCGACGAGGGCGCGGCCGACGAGGGCACGGCCGACGAGGGCACCCGGGTTCCTTGGACTCAGGACCGTAATCTGAGTTGGCTTCCTCTCGGCCGACGGGGGCGCCTTGGCCGACGAGGGCGCCACTCTGCTGTCTTGTGCTCTGTTCTTCCGAGTATGTGGGTCCTGGGGTTCAGACCCATATACTCCATCAGTACCAAGTATTGATGTAACTATTTAAGGTTCCAGAATTAGTGGGCCTGAAATCCAGAATATTTTCAAAATGTTGCCAAATACCTTTTGCAAACCAACAATTTAGAAAAAAATGGTCAGTATTATCGTCATTGTTGCAAAAGGGGCATTTGAAGGGTCCATTAATGCCAAAAAGATTAAGAGTGGCAGCAAAAGGCAAACGACCGTTTTTTAGTCTCCATAAGAAGAAAGATATTTTTTGGGTTCGGTTATTCCATAAGAACTTGGCATCATCGATCAAATCATTTTTGGGTCTAAGGACATCATAGACACTATTAAAACTAAATTTGCCATTTAGGTTGTGTTGCCAAATAATGGTATCATTGTTATCACCGTACTGGATTTTGATCGCATGTATAGTGTCAACATGTAACGGGGCAGATTGCTTTGAACAGAAGGGATCAAAAAAGTATCACGCATAGCCTCCTTGATGGCCAAATTAGGGTCAGTGGGCGGGATATCCCCCCAATAGTGATAAAGCGGGCCAAGATTGCTCCAATTAGAGTACCAAAAGGAACTATTACCATTGTTAACCTGTATACAATAATTATTATCAAAAGTTTGCCGGACAGAAGCAAGAGAATTATGCATGATAGAGCGAGTAGTATCTTTAATAGAGTTAACCCAGTCAGCCCAAATCCCTTTACCGTTATTAAGCTTCCATAAAAATATCATAAAAAAGTTCTCTGAATATGGATGAGGCTCCTAAAACCAAGCCCATTTTCAGAAACAGGGTAACAAATTCTGGCCCACTTTCGCCAAATGTGCCTCTTATGATCAGTTTTATTGTCCCAAAGGAAATTAGCTAGTTTACTTTCCATATTGTGCACAACAGTAGTAGGGATAGGGGAAACAACCATATGATAAAGGGGCAGGAATTAAGAACATGATTAATCAAGATCATCCTCCCCCAGACGAGAGGATCCTGTGCTTCCAACCCGCAAGTTTATTATCGAAATTGGTCAAGATGTGGTCAAAGTGGGGTTTTAATAATATTATCTAATGTTTTTGCTTATAAAAGATACGAGTACTTGTATTTGTTTGTGTGTTTTGAAAACAAGTTAATCGAGTTTTGAATTGGTTACATTAATCTCCCACATAAAGATACAATCCGAAGTGATTTTTTTTCAATACCCGACCCTACTCGACCCGTTCATGCATGATTTACCAACTTATTTTGCGTACCGCGAGTTGAATAATAGCCAACCCGAACAAATCGAGTAGGCCCAAAAAATATTGCAAACCCGACCCAACCCGCCCGATGTGCAGCCCTAATTTCCGCATCAAGTTGAACAAGAATCCAAGTATCGACTAATCCGGTCGGGCCCCAGTTTTAGAAAACAAATCCAAAGTTAATAATGGTTCATCATCAGTGGCCCCGACCGACCACATACAACAGTACAACACAATCAAAAGACCCTACTAGATTTAAGTAAATTATCCATCCATAAGATAATAGGCTAATTAATAATAATAATACACAGAAATGGAAATACACTTGAATACATCCAAAGGAAGGAGTAAATAATCAATGTGGGACACAATAATAATGATGGGCCCGATTACGAGGCGTTGCTCCTAAAGGAGCCAAGAGCCTTGATGGCGGCGGCTCTAAGGATGAACTGGTGGTAGATGGCGGCGACGGCAGCGCCGACGAAGGGGCCCACCCAGAAAATCCACTGGTCATCCCAGGCCTTGTCTTTGTTGTAAATGACTGCTGCTCCAAGACTCCTTGCCGGGTTTATGCCCGTTCCGGTTATGGGAATGGTGGCCAGGTGGACCATAAACACCGCGAACCCAATCGGAAGTGGGGCCAACACCTTCACCAATCAATCACTTAATAATTTCAGCGTACAATGTATGTATAATTGATCACCACCATCGATCGTTAATTAATTACGGAGTAACATTCTTTATTCCTTATTATACATTTATTATACCAAGGACCAATTGATTAATTAATTATTGTTCACGTCCAAAATTCAAAAAAATATTCGCGTTCTAATAGCGACAGAGACCAATTGATACGTGGACAGCTACGTTTGATACCTCTACACCACTTTCAAAATTTTATAAAAAAAGTTCGCCTTGGGGTACACCCCTTGAATGCACATGTCTAGATGATGCTAAGAGCATCTCATGCTACGATGTGCACGGTGCACATGTGGCATGAGAGAGACACAAAAGATTGATCCTATGACATTTCTCTCTCCATCTTTTCACGGTCTTATGTGTTTTTGATAAGTTTTTCTCTGCAATGTCAACCACAATGTCTACATCTAGACATTGTGAACAAAAACTTACTAAAGTTATATAAGATCTTTCATAGAAGGAGATAGATATTTTAATTATTGTTTTAAGATTGGCTATCTCTCATGTCACGTATAGACGGTTAACGTATTAGCATTGGAGATGCTCAAAGTTTTATAAAAGGATGACACCCAAGGTTCCCAACCCGACTAGACGGTACGTTAGGAGGATGTAAATTGAACTATAATCCCAATCTGATAGATGAGTGGGACTCTGTTGCGCTAATAAACAAGATCTCAATTTAAATACCCCCTCCGTCCCTAAAAGGATTGCCGATTTTGACCGGCACGTAGAATAATAAAGTAAAAACTGTATGGTAGAGATTTGTGTAAAGAAGGGAGAATAACATGAACAACAAATTGATTGACTAAAACGGAAAAAATGCTAAATTTTTTGGGACAACCAAAAAAAGAAAGTTGACAAAGTTATAAGGGAGGAAGACGCCAGACGCGATCTCAATGATCCAAAAACAATACGTAGGAATAAAAGTAAAAAGGACTGAAATGAAAGGTGAGGCGAATAAATTGGTTTTTTTGTACTTACAGGGATATGAGAATCTCTGGCATTCCTCTTAGGATCGGTGGCAGAGAAAACGGTGTAGACCAAGACGAAGGTGCCAATTATCTCTGCACCCAAACCCGTGCCTATGTTGTATCCAGGTTGCAACACATTCGCCCCTCCGCCGTAACGGTCGTAATAAGCCTTGTGGAAACCCTTCACCAATCCCACTCCGCAGATCGCTCCCAAACACTGAGCCGCCATGTACAACACCGCCCTTATCAGCGACACCTTCCTTCCCAAAAACAGGCCGAATGTCACCGCCGGGTTTATGTGCCCTCCTGTTACCAAGGTTTCCATCAGTACAAAATTCTTATGAGGGGCGATTCCACAAATTTGGATTAAGATGGGCCAAAATTTTTAGAATTAGAATAGAAAATTCTAAAGTTTTAAGTTCTACTCAGAAATTTCAAAACTTCTTAAGTAGAAGAATTATTAGTATACTAAAAATATGGCTCTTAAGTTCTTGGTAGTTTGGAAAATTTACTTATCTTATTATACCCAATATTAGTTATTACACTCAAATTTCTTCATGTTTATGTTTACTATTTTAGATGCTATTTT